CTGCCCCTGCTCTCCGCAGCGCGGAGACCGCAGCCCGCCCGCAGCGTCGCGACGCGCGCCGCGGCGGCGTGCCATGGCGAACTTGCCCAAGGAGGTCTACCTCACGGTCTGCGTCGAGCCGAAGGAGGAGGAGGAGGAGGAGGAGGAGGAGCTCGCCGAGGAGGAGGAGGAGGAGGAGGAGGAGGCCGAGGAAAACCCTGAGGAGGCGGGCGACGAGGACGAGGGCGCGGAGCCCAAGGACGGCGAGGAGGCGGAGGAGCGGCCGCCGACGGCCGCCGACGGCGGCGTGTCCTACGAGAAGGAGGTCGAGGAGGTGGCGCCCATCGAGATCGAGCTCACGTCCGCGTCGCTCATCGGCGACCTCAAGGACAAACTCAACTCCATCCTCGGCAAGCTCGCGGGCTTCGACAAGGAGGAGATCGCCGAGCTGCCGCGCATGGCGCTCATGACGGGCCGGCGCATCTGGAGCGACCTCGAGGTCCTCAAGGCCGTCATCTCGGAGGTCGGCTGCCTCTCGGAGCTGAAATACGGCACGATCAAGGTCATCCTGAGATCCGTGGACCTCCGGGACCCGCCGAAGCGGTCCAAGGCCGAGGAGGAGGACATGAAGCGCATCGCCGAGGCCAAGGAGACGGCCGCGCGCGAGCGGAGCCGCACGCGGCGCGTGCGGCCCACGAAGCGCGGCACGGACTCCTTCGCGACATCGACGACGAGCGGCGACGCCCCCGGCCGCGAGTCGAGCCGGAGGTCCGCTAAGGACGCGAAATAGCACGCGCGGGGGCGCCCTAGTCGCGGACGGCGAAGGTGCGGAAGACGCGGTGCTCCTCGTCGAGGCGCGCGCCGCCGCCCTCCTCGCCGACATCGACGACGTCCACGGGATCGTCGAGGATGGCGCCGTCGTCGGCGTCGTAGCTGCAGCAGGCGGCGAAGGCGCCGTAGTTGCTGCACGTCGCGTAGTCGTCGTCGTCGCCGTCGCCGTCGTCGACGTCGGCGCGGCTATGCGGCGGCGCGGGCGCCTTGGGCGACGTCTTCTTGGGCGCTCCGGCGCGGTGGTCCGGGTGCGTGCCCATCCACTGCGTGAGGTCGAAGACGCCGCCGAGGAGCCGGCCCGGCGGCGGCGGCGGCGGCGGCTCCGTCTTCGCGATGAATTGCGGCGCGCGGTCGCCGAGCGTCGCGCGCTCGACGGCCCGCCGCTGGGCGCCCTCGGCGGCGACGAAGGCCTGGTGCGCGGCGCAGACGCGGCCCACCAAATCCTCGTCCGTCTCCTCGCGGACGACGCGGAGGTCGAACGCGTCGCCCTCCCAGCGGGGCACCGTCGCGAACGCGCAGACGCAGTGCGCGTAGTTGCGCCGCTCCTCGACGGACACGACGACGCCGACGGCGCCGCGGCGCAGGCCCTGCCAGCCGAGGCGCGGCGCCGCCGCGCCGCAGCACGGCTCCACGGTCACGAGCACGCCCGCGAAGAGCCGCGGGCCCTCCGCCGCGGCCGCGGGCTCCGGCGCCGTCGCGGCGGCGAGGGCCCGCGCGAGGTCGTCGCCGCTCGGCGCCGGCGCGAGGGCCGGCGCCGGCGCCGGTTCCGGCGGCGGCGACGCGGCGCGCGCGCCGTCGTCGTACGTGACGACCAAATCCGCGTCGCCGCCGTCGCCCTCGTCGTAGACCTCGACCTTGGCCGCCTCGTCCGCGCCCAGGAGCTGGTCCAGGAACCCGCCCGCCGCCGACGGCCGCCGGGGCGTCGACGCCTTGGCGAAGGCGTCGGGCCGCAGCCGGCCCAGGCGCCCGAGCGCGCCGCCGGGCTCCGGCTTTTCGTCGTCGTCGGGCGCCTCCTCCATGGCGACGTCGTCGTCGTCGTCGCCGCCGCCGCCGCCGAAGTAGGCCGACGAGATGTCCGAGGGCCGGTAGCGCGAGTCGCCCGCCGTCGCGGCGGCGGCCGCGGCCGCCGCGCGCGACGCGCGGTCCGCGGCCGCGTCCGCGCGGCCCGCCGCCGCGAGCGCGTCGGCCCGCGCCGCCGGGTCCGCGACGCCCTCGGCGGCGGCGCGGCAGGCGTCGCGCGCGCGGCTCGCGGCCTTGGCCGCGTCCCAGGCCTCGGCCGCGTCGCGCTCCGCGAGGTCCGCGGCTTTCAGGGCGTCGCGCGCGAAGGCCTCGCAGGCCGCGACCGCGCGCGCGGCCGCTGCGGCCGCCGCGGGCGCCGGCGCCGGCGGTGCCGGCGCCGGCCGCTGGAAGACCGACGTCTTCCGGAACGCCGCGGCGGCGGCGGCGGCGTCGGTCGCCGCGGCGTCCGCGTACGCGGCGACGAGGTCCGTCGTCGCGCGCGCGCGCGCGAGGGGCACGCCCCCGGCCCCCTCGAGGGCCCGGGCGCGCGCCTCCGCCGCGGCCCGCGCGCCGCGCGCGTCCGCCGCGGCCTCCTCGGCGCGCTTCACGGCCGCGGCCGCGTTGTTCGCCGCGTTCATGCGCCAGCCGGGGCCCGCGGTCGTCGACGCGCGGCGCCGCGGGCTCGCGGGGTCGCAGAGGCAGTGCACGGCCTCGCGCGCGTCGTCGAGGGCCTTGCGCGCGGCGCCCGCGCGGCTCTTCGCGCGGTCGCGCAGCGCGACGCCCTCCTCGGCGTCGGTTAGCTTCGCGACGAACGTCGGCGCGCCGTCGGAGGACCGCGCGGCGTCCTTCGGCGGCGGCGCGGCCGCTTTCGGCGCCGGCGCCGCCGCTTTCGGCGGCGGCGCGGCCGCGGCCGGCGGAGCGGCCGCCGCGGCGACCGCGACGGCCGGCGCCGGCTCCGCCGCCTCCGGCGCCTTGGCCGGCGAGAACTTGTGGAAGGCGCGGACGCCGAGCGCGGCGGCGCCGACGATGCCCGCGAGGCCCGCGCCGAAGACGCGGCCGCCGAGGCCCGGCGCCGGGGGCTCGTCGTCCGGGAGCGCCTCCTCGGCGCGGCCGTCGTCGTCGTCGTCGCCGTCGCCGCCGCCCATCATCACGACGGGCGCCGCGGCGGCCTCGTCCGCGGCGACGGCGTCCGCGGCCGCGGCCTCGCGCGCCGCGGCCTCGCGCTTCTCGCGCGCGACCGCCGCGACCTTGGCCCGGGCCTCGGCGCCGCGCTTCGCCGACGCCGCGTCCGCGTCCGCGCGCGCGGCCGCCGCCGCGTCGCGCTTCTCGCGCGCGGCGACGAGGAGCGCCGCGGCCTCGGCCTCGCGGTGCGCGCGCGTCGCCGCGGCCGCGCGCGCCTCCGCGTCCGCGGCCGCGGCCGCGTCGCGCGCGGCCGCGTCGCGCGCCGCGGCCTCCGCCGCGGCCGCGCGGCGCTCCTCCTGCTCGTGGAAGGCCTCGTCGCGGCGCTCGCCCTGGATGAACGTCAGCTTCACGGGCCGCGGCGCGGCGACGAGCATGGCCAGGATCGACTCGAAGGTCTCCGGCGACCTGCGGGCGTTTGTTCGTCGTCGGACGCGCGGGCGCCCCCTGCTTTTTTAGGACGAGCGAGCCTGCCTTTTTCCGACGATCCTCGGAACGCGCGCCGTCTCGGGACCCCGGCGGCCGCGGCTCGAGGATGAGCTTGCCGTCGACGGCGATGAGCTCGTCCGTGGGCTTGAGCGGGCCCGGGTAGACCTCGCAGTGGGCGTGGGTCTCCTCGACCTCGACGAAGCTGCGGCCCTCGTCGCCGTAGCGCGCGATCAGCACGGAGAAGCCGAAGCGCTTGCGCTCGAAGACGTGGTGGAAGACGAGGCCCGTGCGCGCCACGGCCTCGAGGTGGTCGCGGAGCAGGTGCTTGACGTTGGCGTGGTACTCGTCGAGGAGGTGCTCGCGCGACTTCGCGTGGCCCGCGCCCTTGAGGCTCGCGCGCTTGTGCGTCACGCGCACGCGCTGGTTCCGCAGCGCCTTGTCCAGGGGGTCGTAGCCGACCATGCTGTGGCGGTGGGCGATCATCTCCCTGTCCATACTTCTTTCTTCATAGAACTTGAGCTCCTCGGGCGTGTGCTCGTGGTCCAGGTCGCCGGACTCGAAGGACGCGAAGGTGCCGATGGCGGGCGCCATCGCGACGACGGAGAGCTGCCCCAAAAATGTCGAGGTGAAGTGGTCGTATCCTTTCAGTTTTTCTTGCCCTCGATTCACAACCAGCCACGACTCAGCAAAACTTCGGGGCTGCCACCGACTGTTTCCAGTTGCTCGCGACGCGCCCATGGAGGCCTTCAGCTCAATGTTCGGCGGGAAGAAGGAGGAGGAGAAGCCCGCCGAGGAGAAGCCCGCCGAGGAGGCGGAGAAGCCGGCGGAGGAGCCGCCCAAGGAGGAGGAGACCAAGGAGGAGCCCCCCCCGCCGACGGACGCCCCGCCCGTGGAGCCGAAGAAGGGCTTCGGGCTCCCCGCCTGGGACTGCTTCTTCTGCAAGAAGGACGAAGAGGGCACCAAGACCGACGAGGCGCCCGCGGAAGACGCGCCCGCGGCCGACGCGCCCGCGCCCGCGCCCGCGCCCGCGGAGCCCGCGGCGGAGCCCGCGGCCGCGGAGCCGACGCCCGTCGTCTAGGGCCGACGCGCTCCCGCCCCTCGACGCAAAGCGGTGCGCCCCTTACGCCGCGCCGGTGTACCATGTTAACAACTCTCGCCCCAGCTCCGAGGAGGCCCGCGGGTCGACGACGGCGCGCGGGAGCTCGGCGCTCGGGCCGCGCCGCGGGAGGACCCCCGCGCCCCCATCGACGCCCGCGGACGTCCGCGCGCGCCGGGGGCCGCGCGGGCTCGGCGGTGCCTCGAGACTTACGCCTTGTACCACGGGCGCGGCTCGCCCGACGCCTCCGCGGGCGGCTCCGAGTCCGCGGGCGGTTCGTCCGACAGCCCCCAGAGGATGGGCGCGGGCCGGCCCTTGCTCTTGGCGAAGTCGCGGAGCCCCTGCTCCCAGCACCCGCCCGTGACGCCGCGGGGCGTGAGCACGCAGACGACGCCGAGCGACGAGACGTCGCGGATGTTCGCCTGAGGAAGATCGTTCCATCGCGTGCGAACGCGGAAAAAAGCGCCGAGGCTCGGGCGCGCGCCGGGTCGTCGTCGAAGAAGAGCATGTCGTCGAACGCGACGTTCGTCTTCTTCTGCAGCGCGCGGAAGTGGTCCTTCTTGCTGCCCTTGTAGATCTCGCAGAGCTCGCCGCCGTCGCAGGCGTCCCAGAAGCTCACGCCGGGCTCGGCCTCGAACATCTTGAGGAGCTCGCGCGCCCACGCGGGCTCGTCGCAGCGGCTCGCGACGGCGACGCGCGTCCGCCGGAAGCGCTCCGTGCCGACGAGCAGCGCCCAGACGGGCCGCGTCATGCCCAGGAGCTTCACGGCCTCGCCCTTGCACGACTCCATGACGTTGAGGTCGCCCGTCTTCCTGAAGGGCGCGCCGCTGCTCATCATGTACATCTCCGGGTACCTAGGGTTGCGGTGCGTCGACGCAATGAGGGTCGCGTCGCGCGCGGCGCTTCGTGCGCGTGCCAAAACGCACCAGCAGCAGGCGTCGAGGTCGAAGACCACGAGCGCCGGGTAGCAGTCGTTGCTCGTGTCGGGAATGAGGGAGTCGGCCATGATTCCTTTTTGCCAGTGGCAGATCGATACATTGACGCGGCGTCACTGAGTCAAGGTCACACGTTGAACCAGCGGCGCGCTTACGCGCACACCTCCGGGGCCGCGCGCCCCGGCCGCGGGGCGCTCGCCGCGGCGGCGGCGTCGAGCGCGGCGCGCGCGTCCTCGCGCCAGCGCGCGAGGAACGCGTGGCCCGCCGCCGCGAGCGCGCGGCCCGCGGGCGTGCGGACGAAGTCCGGCGCGAGCAGGAGGAGCTTCTCGTCGCAGTGGGCCGCGACGTCCGCGACGACGGCGGCGGGCGCGAGGTCCGCGCCCGGCGGCGCGGACTCGCGGCGGTACTCGACGCAGCGCCGGAGCCCCGCGGGCCCGAGCGCGTCGATCTTGTCGGCGTCGCTCACGACGTGGCGCAGCGTCCGCGCGGGCTCGTCGAGCGCGCGCCACGCCGGCGCCTCGCCGCGGCGGAGCGCCTTGGCCTCGCGGCTGTAGGAGACCTCGGCGATGACGGCCACGCACGCGTCCGCCTCCGCGGGCGTCGCGTGCTCCGCGAGGAACGCGTCGCGGCGCGCGACGGCCGCGGCGCCGGGCGCCGTGGCGGCGTCGACGTACTTGTGGTCGCAGACGTCGTGGAGCAGCGCCGCGAGCTCGACGACGCGCCGCGCGTCGAAGCCGGTGCTGCTGTGTGTGTTGAGGCTGCTGGTGTTGAAGATCGCGAGCGCGAGGTTCCGCACGCGCAGCGAGTGGCCGAGGCCGTGGCTCTCGCCGCGGCCCGCGAGCTCGGCGGCGACGAACGCGCGGGCCGCGGCGTGCACGGTACCGATCGTCGGCGGCTCCTCGGCGGCCGGCGCGTCGAGCAACGCTGCGAAGATGGACATCGTTTGCGAGTTTGCGTGCACCGATCGTCGGCGGCTCCTTGTCGCTGCGGCCGAGTCGTGGCGAGTCTTAGCTTATTTATACGCACCGATCGTCGGCGGCTCCGCGCTGCTGCCGGTTGAGTCGTGGCCGCTACCGAAGGTGTCGACCGAGCTGGGTTTGAAAGCCTAGAGGCAAAATGTTCATTTATGACACAGCTCGCCAAACCTCAAGCAAGCTGGCGGGCTAGACTTCTCGAGCGCCGTCGCAGGGGTCGCACGCGCGCGCAGCTCGTCCACGCACACAGCCATGCCCGGCCTCTCCGTCGACGAGCTGCTCGGCAGCGGCGAGGGCCTCGGCGTGCTCCTGGAGATGGCCGCGCACGCGCTGCGGGAGCACCCCCACTTCGTCGTCGACGACGCCACGGGCCGGGCGCTGGCGTCGGCCATCTCCTACCGGTCGCTCTTCGGCCCGGCCGCGGGCCTCGCGCTCGAGCTCGCGTTCAGCCCCGTCGCGCTCGCCGTCGGCCTCGCGGTCGTCGCCGTCGCGCTGACGCAGCTTTTGCCGCTCGTGCGCAACATCGAGGCCGTCTGCGCGCCGGACCCGGAGGACGGGCCCCTCGGCACGTTCCTCGCCGTCGCGCCGCGGCGCGCGCGCGAGGCGGCCGTCGGGGGCGACGCGGCGCCGGAGGAGGAGGAGGCGCCGCCGCCGCCGCCGGAGGAGCCGCCGGAGGACGCGCCGCCGCCCGTGGCGGCGCCCGTGGCCGAGGCGTCGGTCGCCGCGGGCGCCGACGCCGCGGCGGCGCCCCTCGCGGAGGTCGCGGCGCCGGACAGCCCGCCGGGGCGCGCGCGGCCGCGGCGCTTCGACGGCGAGGTCGCGGCGACGCGGCGGCGCCACTGCGTGCCGCTCGCGCGCTGGAGCGACGCCGTCGAGGCGCCGCCGGGCGCGCCCCTGCTCTTCGTGAGCGGCCAGATCGGCGCCGACGACCGCGGCATCCTGCGGCCCGACGCGCGGGGCCAGTGCGCCGCGGCGTTCGAGAACCTCCGCCGGTCCCTCGAGGACTGCGGCCGGACCATGGCGGACGTGGTCTCCCTCGACGTCGCCCTCGCCCACGGCAAGTGCTCCCTGGGGGACTACCGCGAGGCCGAGCGCGCGCACCTCGACGGCGCCGCGCTGCCCGCGGTGACGCTGACCTTCGCCGCGGGCCTCGCGACGCCGAACATCCTCGTGTCCCTGTCCTGCGTCGCCGCCTAAGAAGCCGTTACTTGCGCGCGCCGAGCTTCTTCTGCGGCGGCTCGTCGTCGTCGTCGTCGTCGCCGCCGCCGCCGCCGCCGAAGAGGTTCTTGAGCATGGACGCGGGGTCCTGCGCGGCGCCCATCTGCTCCTGCATCTTCTTCATCTCCTCGGGGTCCATGTTGTCCATCATCTTGGGCATGAGGACGACGACGGCGCCCGTGAAGAGGAGCATGAGCATCATGGGGTTGCGGAAGAGCGTGTGGAGGCCCGGCGTCTCGCGGACTTCGAAGTACTGCTGCTTGACGTGCGCCGCGAGCTCGAGCGGGTAGGCCATGGGCTGCTTCGCCGCGCCGGGGTAGCGGTACTCGAGGCAGCGGATCGCCTCGCCGCCGGCCTTGGGCAGGTTGAGCTTCACCTGGCTGAAGATGTAGTCGACGCTGAGCACGTCGAGGAGGTAGACGCCGGGCTCGACGTCGTGGAAGACGAAGCCCCCGTCGGGCCGCGTGTAGGTCCGGTACTCGCCGCCGTTGAGCACGACCTCCGTCGTCGGCAAGCTCGCCCCGGCCCCGCGGAGCCGCACCGTGCCCTCGACGGGGTGCGACTCGATGGCGCCGCCGAGCTCGAGCTCGTCGGCGCCGCAGCGCGCGACGCAGGCCGCCAGGAGGAGGCGCAACGAGGACCGCATGTTTCCGTTCGGCGTCGCGCGCGGCGACGGCGCGCGAGACGAGGGCGCGTCGACGACGCGACGGCGGAGCTGCTCGCGAACGCGACGGCGGGCGAGGCTCCAGGGTCTTGCCGTCGAGATGCCTTTGCACAAAAAGTTGTGGTAATTCAGGGCCGCAATGGGGCGAAGAATGGCGCTTGAGGCAGCGACTGCGCAGCGTCGCATGGGGCGAAGAATGGCGCTTGAGGCTGCGACTGCGCAGCGTCTTGACTGCTGCAACACAGCATCGCGAACACTCCGGTACCGCATCGCGCTCCTCGTCCTGCTCCGAACAGCCGCCGCGCTCGCACCACAACCGCAGCCACGCTCCACCCCGACCAAGGGCAACAACGGCCTCGCCGTCGACGGCGCCGTCGACTCGTCCGAGTTCCCGGGCGTCGCCCTCGACGTGTCCGCCGCCTTTTTCCGGAGCGAGTCGCGGCTGTCGCGCGACGTCGCGGTCCTCGCCGCGGCCTACGCGACGCGGCGCGTCGACGGCCGGCCGCGCGTCGTCGACGCGTGCGCGGGCAGCGGCGCGCGGTCCCTGCGCTACGCGCGCGACCTCCCGCGCGGCTGCGACGTGCTCGCGAACGAGCCCAACGACGAGACGCGGCTCCGGTCCAACGTCGAGGCGCTGGCGTCGACGACGTCGACCTTCGACTTCGCGTCCGGCGACGCGGCGGCGCTCCTCGCGCGCCGCCCGCGGACCTTCGACGTCGTCGACGTCGACTCCTTCGGCCTCAGCGGCGACGTCGCCGCGGCCGTCGGCGCCGCGCGCGACGGCGGCCTCGTGCTCGCGACGACGACCGGCGCGGCCGCCGCGGGCGCGCGGGGCGCGGCGGCGCGCGCGGCGCTCAAGGCGCGGCTCGGCTGCGACGCCGCGTCGACGCCGGCCCAGAACGAGCTCGGGCTGCGCATGCTCTGCGGCGCCGTCGCGCGCGCGGCGCTCGCGGAGGGCGCGGCGCTCGAGCCCGTCGTCTCGCTCTACGCGGCCCACGGCCCCGTGTTCCGCGTCGCCGCCGTCGTCGATCGGCGCCCGTCGCCGGCGGCGGTCGCGCGGACGGCGGCCTTCGCGACGTCCTCGCTCGTCTTCTCGCCGGACGGCGCGGCGACGGCCGCGCCGGCCGCGCCCGATGCCGGCGGCGACGTCGCGGGCCCGGTCTGGACGGGCCCGCTCCAGGGCCGGGCCGCGCTCCTCGCCATGCGCGCGGACGCGGCCGGCCGCGGCTGGCTCGGCGACCGGGGCCACGGCCGCGCGCTCGGCCGGCTCCTCGACGTCCTCGTCGCCGAGGCCGACGCGCCGGACCTGGACGCGCGGCTCTACGCGAGCCTCGACGACGTCGCGCGCCGCGCGGGCGTCGCGACGCCGGGCGGGCGGGCCATGCGCGCGGCGGTCGAGGCCCTCGGCTACCGCGCGGCGCCGACGCACGTCGACGGCAAGGGCCTCAAGACCGACGCGCCCATGGCCGCGCTCCTCGCCGCCGCGCGCGCCGCGACGTCTCACGGCACTTAGAACGCGTCGGCCGTGCTCGCGCGCGCGACCTCGTACTGCCAGTGGCTGACGTCGTTGAGGTCCATGATCGACGACGCCCAGATCTGGATCTCCAACTGGACGGGCGCCTTGAACGTCGACGGCTGGAAGGAGCAGTTCAGGTGGAAGTTGAACGGCTCCCGACCCTTGCCGAGCTTGTTCTTGAGCCGGAGCACGCGGAACCGCTGCTTTGGGTCGTCCGGGTCGCCTTTGAGGGCGCAGTACGTCTTCCAGAACGCCTCGGCGTCCTCGCAGACGACGGACGCGCGGAGCGAGTCGCCGACGAACGCGCAGTAGGGGTAGCGGCCCTCGCCCTTCTCCTTCTCGTACTCGTCGATCTTCGCGGCCATGCGCGTCGTCTTCTTGATCGACACGTCCGGCGAGCACTTGAGCAGGCACCGCGTCGGCCACGCCGCGGCGCCGGCCGGCTTCGCCTCGCGGAGCGCGACGCCGACGTCGCCCGGCGCCGCGGCGTCGTCCGGCGCGTCCCGGGGCGAGCGCGCGGCGGCGTCGTCCGGCGCGTCCCGGGGGTCGACGTCGCGGAGCCAGGCCTCGTCGGTGGCGCGGTGCGCCGCGCCCGCCTCGAGCGCGTCGGCGCCGTCCCGGGGCGAGCCCGGGAGCAGGCTCGGCGCGTCGAGCGCCTCCGGGAGCGCGCCCGGCGCGTCGAGCCGGTCGACGGCGTCGCGGTCGAGGTCCGCCGCCGGCGGCGCGCCCTTCTCCGAGGCGACGCCCTTGTTCGACCACGACGTCGACGTCGCCCAGAGGGCCTTGGCGGACGGGGCGCGCCGCGGCGGCGGGTCGTCCGCGGCCGCCGGTTCGCCGCCGCCGTCGTCGTGGACGAAGGTCCGGATGCCCGGCAGGAGCTCGCGGAAGTGGGCCTCGAGCTCGTCGAAGGCGGCCGTCGACAATGCTTTCAACAGTTCCGGGAAGCAGAGCCGGTCGACCTCGGCGAGGAACCGCGCCGTCTGCGGGCCGCGCGCGACGAGGTCCGTCACCGCGGCGACCTCGGCGCGCCGGAGCAGCGGCTGCTCGAGGTCCGCCTTGACGTCTCGCTCCGCGCGCAGGTAGTCGCCGTAGGGCTCGAGCGCCAGGAACGCGGCGCACCGCCGGTCCATCTCCGCCTTGGTCCCGTGCATCGCCCAGAGCGCGACGAGGCGGAACGCCTCCCAGGGGCTCCAGGCGTGGTCCGCGGCGACGCGCCGCAGGGCGTCGGCGCGGCCGCTCGCCCCGCCCTCGGCGCGGGCGAAGGCCGGCGTACCGGCGAGCGTCGCGGCCATGGCCGCGCCGAAGACGCGCGCGACGTCGTCGGCGACCGGGCCCTCGCCCGTCGCGCGCGCGGCGACGTCGTCGTCGAAGGACGGCGCGCAGCGGGCCAGCACGTCGATGGCGGGCGCGTCGGCCCAGACCGGGAGCGGCTGGAGGTGGGCCTTGAGGTAGGCCCAGGACGCGGCCGTCGGCGCGCGGATCACGGCGCACGCGGCGGCGACGGCGGCGCCCTGGAGCTCCTTCGCCGCCGCCGCGGCGCCGTAGGCGGCCTCGAAGTCGGCCCGGTCGAAGGGCGCGCGGCGGTGGATGCGGTCGAGGAGCGCGTGGACCCGCTCGCGCGACGCGACGGCGCGCGCGAGCAAACCGACGCCCGCGCACGCCGCGAGGAGCAGGCTCGAGAAGCAGGTCTCCTGGAGCGCCGTCGGCGGCGTCTCCGGCAGGTTCATGACGGCGACGGCGACGCAGACGGCGAGGTAGCCGACGCAGGCCAGCGAGACCGCGCGGTGGGCGTCGTTGACGATGGGCTTGTACGTCGCCGAGAGCCAGAGCCGGAACACGAGGAACAGGACGCAGCAGGCCACGCGCATGCCCGGGCGGGACGGGAAGAGGAAGACCGTCAATCCGCAGAGCGTGAGGCGCTCGAAGACGTCGACGACCTCGACCCAGTAGAACTGCGCGCGGTACTTGGCCGTGAGCGTCGCGAGCGGGCCGTCGACGGCCGCGAGCTCGCTCGGCGTGCGCTGGGCGCCGCGCCGGTTCGACCACAGCTTGGCGACGGCGGCGAGGGGCAGCCCGAAGACGTAGAAGGCGAGCGCGAGCGACATGTACCAGGAGTAGAGCGCGTACGTCGCCGAGTCGCACGACACGCCGTAGTCGACCGCGAGCACGCGCCGCTTCCGCCCCGGCGAGAGCTCGTAGGGCCCGTCGCAGCGGAAGTGCTCGAAGATGAAGACCTGCCACGCGATAAACTTCGTGTTCCCACCCCACATCTCTCGAAACTCGTCGCGGGACGCCGATGGAGACGCACAAAGACACGTGGCACAGGAGGAAGACGACGACGTAGGACCGCAGGTACGCGTCGACGACGCCGCGCTTCGCCGCGAGGTCGCCGCCGCGCGCGGCCGCGTGCGCGGCGCCCGCGAGTAGGAAGAGCGCGAAGCCGGCGACGGGCGCCGCCGTGACGGCGACGATCTTCGAGTAGTAGTCGAAGAGGGCGTTGCAGGGCTGAAGAGGAGGCCCTTGAGCCACGCGAATGTCAGGACGTCGAGCGCGTCGAGCACGTACTTGAAGGGCGCCGGCGTGCTGAGCTCCTCGATCTTGAAGAAGATGACGTTGGACTGCGCCGCGTACCAGAGCGTCAGCGCCGTCGTGAGCCACCAGTCCCAGTGGCCGAAGGACACGCGCGCGACGTAGGGCCGCGCCGCGTAGGCGCCGGCGGCGAGCACCGCGGCCGTCGCGAAGAAGGCGACGAGCGCGACGCTCGACCCGCCGCAGGCGAAGCAGTCGCCGTCGGCGCCGCGGTAGAACCCGCGCTCGCACTCGTTGCAGCGCACGCCCTCGGAGTGGCCCGCGCACAGGTCGTCGCCGCCGAGCGCGCCCGCGGCGCCCGAGCCGGGGCAGTTGCCGCGGTTCGCGCAGTCGTAGACCTCGACGGACTCGGCGGACCCGCGCCAGTAGCCGCCGTCGATGCGGAGGCTGACGGAGTCGAGGCCCGCGACGTCGCACGCCATGCCCGCGACGCACGTGCGGCAGCACTGGACGCACTGGGACCCGTCCTCGTGCCGGTAGCCCTTGGCGAGCCAGGCGTCGTGGACGGCGTCGGACCAGTACGTGCCCGCGGCGCAGCCGTCGCAGAACGTCGCCGCGGCGCGCGTCGCGACGAGCGGGTAGGGGCACGCGAGGCACGACGCGGCCGCCGCCGCGTGGCCGTAGGAGCCCTGGTCGCAGGTCTCCGTCGCGTTGTCGCAGGCCTCGGCGGCGCAGGGCGCGCAGGCCGACGCGCCGCTCTCCGCGGCCGCGCCCGCGGGGCAGTCCGCGCAGCCCTCGTTCGCCGTGCCGTTGCTGAAGCGGCCGGACTCGCAGTAGACGCACTGGACGCCGTCCGGCGTGTAGAGGCCCGGGCCGCAGGCGGCGCACGTGAGGCCCACGGGCGAGTACCAGCCCGCGTCGCAGTCGATGCAGAGCTTGTTGCTGTCCGCGTCGAGCGTCTGGTACTGGCCCTCGAGGCAGTAGCCGCAGCCGTCGCTGCCGAGGCCCGACTGACGACCGGCCGGGCAGGCGGCGCACTCCGCGGCGCCGCCGACGGCGTAGGTGTTCACGGGGCAGATGTCGCAGGCGTACGCGCCCGTGCCGTTGGCGTACGTGCCCGGCGCGCAGGGCTCGCACGCGGCCGCGGAGCGGTCGCCGCTGTAGGAGCCCGCAGGGCAGAGCGCGTGCGTCGGCGCGGCCGTCGGCGCGGCCGTCGGCGCCTCCGTCGGCGGCGTCGACGGCGCGGGCGACGTCGGCGTCGCGCTGGGCGCGGCCGTCGGCGGGCGCGAGGGCGCGGGCGTCGCCGTCGGGGAAGACGTGCCGCAGTCGTTCTCGTACCAGGCGACCGTGTCGTCGTTGATGGACGCCGACAGCGCGTCGACGTCGCCGTCGCCGTCGACGTCGATCGCGAACACGTCGTAGGCGCCGTCGGCGACCGTCGTGATGATGTGCGCCACGAAGCTCTCCTCCCCGTCGTTCTCGTACCACGCGACCGTGTGGTCGTTCTCGGACGCCGACAGCGCGTCGACGTCGCCGTCGCCGTCGACGTCGACTCGCGAAGACGGAGCGGGCCTGCGCCGCGGCGTCGGTGATGACGCGCTCGGAGAAGGACTGGGAGCCGTCGTTCTCGTACCACGCGACCGTGTCGTCGTCCTTGGACGTCGACAGCGCGTCGACGTCTCCGTCGCCGTCGACGTCGATCGCGAAGACGGACGAAGCGGCGCTCGCCGCGTTCGTGATGGCGTGCGCTTGGAAGGACGGGCCGTCGGCGAGCGACGGCTCGTCGCCGTCGAAAGAGTCCAAGAGGCTGGCGATCTCCGATTCGGTCTCCTCGGCGCCGCCGTTCTCGTACCAGGCGACCGTGTTGTCGCCGGAGGACGCCGACAGCACGTCGACGTCGCCGTCGCCGTCGACGTCGACGGCGAAGACGGACTCGGGGCCGTCCGCGTACGTCGCGACGGCGTGCGCGGTGAAGGATTCGGACCCGTCGTTTTCGTACCACGCGACCGTGTCGATGTCGAAGTTCGCAGACAAGAAATCGACGTCGCCGTCGCCGTCGACGTCGATCGCGTAGGCGTCGTCGGCGCCGTCCGCGAGCGTCGTGACGAGGTGCTCCGTGAACACCCCGGAGCCGTCGTTCTCGTACCACGCGACCGTGTCGTCGTTCTCGGACGCCGCGAGGAGGTCCGCGTCGCCGTCGCGGTCGACGTCGATGGCGAAGACGGCGCGCGCGCCGGCCGCCAACTTCGTGATGTCCCACCCGGAGAAGGACTGGGCGCCGTCGTTCTCGTACCACGCGATCCCGTCGTCGTAGTTCGAGGCCGCGATGGGGTCGATGTCGCCGTCGCCGTCGACGTCGGCGGCGGAGACGGCCTGGGCGACCGCGACGTCTCCCGAGATCGTGTATCGCGCGGCGAACGAAACGCTCGCGCAGTTCACCGTCGGCCGCGGCGTCGGCGTCCGCGTCGGGTCCGTGGCCCGCGCGGACGGGGCCGCCGTGGGCGCGGAGCTCGCCGTCGGCGCCGCCGAGCCGCAGTCGTGCTCCCACCAGCGCACCGTGCAGTCCAAGCCGGAGACCCCGACGATGTCCGCGTCGCCGTCGCCGTCCAAGTCCGCCGCGCCGACCCAGTGCGCGCCGCGGGCCCCGCCGAGGTTGGTTTGGCCTCCGTTGCTCTCGACGAGCGTGTGCTCGACGAACGACTGAGCGCCGTCGTTCTCGTACCACGCGAACTTGTGGTTCCAGTAGATGGCCGTGAGGAGGTCGAGGTCGCCGTCGCCGTCGACGTCGTGCGCGGCGACGCCTCAGGCGTCGACGTTCTCGAGCACGACGACGCGCTGGAGGGTAGTTTCCCACGTTCTCGAACCAGGCGACCGCGTCGTCGCCGGGCAGCGCCGCGACCGCGTCGACGTCGCCGTCGCCGTCGACGTCGGCCGCGTAGACCGTGACGGCGTCGGGGGGCTGGTTCGACATCTCCCGCGTCGTGAAGGACTGGAACCCGTCGTTCTCGAACCAGTTGAGCACGTAGTCGTCCAGTCCCTCGTCCATGTAGCCGGACGCGCACATGACGTCGACGTCGGCGTCGCCGTCGACGTCGAGGACCTTGACGTCGTAGGGGACGAGGACGCGGCTCGTGATGATGGACCCGGAGAAGGACTGGGAGCCGTCGTTCTCGAACCACTCGACCGTGTCGTCGCTGCCGGAGCCCGCGACCGCGTCGACGTCGCCGTCGCCGTCGACGTCGGCGGCGTAGACCGTGCGCGCGGCGGACGCGAGCGTCGAGATGAGGCGCTCGGCGAAGGACTGGAGGCCGTCGTTCTCGTGCCAGGCGATCGTGTCGTCGTACAACGACGCCGAGAGGACGTCGACGTCGCCGTCGCCGTCGACGTCGACCGCGAAGACCTGGCGCGCCATCTCGCGCGCGTCGCTGACGGTGCGGTGCGCGAAGGACATAGCCCCGTCGTTCTCGTACCACGCGACCTCGGAAACTCCGGTCCCGCACAGGGCGCCGTCGCCCTCGGCCGCGGACAGCGCGTCGAGGTCGCCGTCGCCGTCGACGTCCGCGACGAACCCGTGCAGCGCGTAGGTCGCTTGATCGTAGATGACGCGCTCCGAAAAGGTCGTCGTCGCGCAGCGGCGCGTCGGCCGCGGCGTCGGCGCGGGCGACGGCGCGGGCGTCGCCGTCGGCGCGGCCGTCGCGCCGGGCGCCGTCGGCGCTGCGCTCGCGCTCGGCGGAGGCGACGGCGCCGCGCTCGGCGGGACGCAGCCGGCGCAGTCCTCGCTGGCGCCGAATTGGTACGACGCCGTCGTCGAGCACCAGAAGGCGGCGCCCGCGCCGACGTCGGTGCAGGTCTGGTACTCGACGCCCAGGTACGTGAAAGGAAAGACGCACGCGTCCGGGACGTAGGTGCAGGCTTCGTAGGCCGTCGGCGCGATTGTGGTCGCGTCCGCCGTCGGCGCGACCGTGGCTGTTGGTTGATTCGACGGCGCTGTTGTTGTCGTCGGCGCCGCCGTCGTCGGCGCCGCGCTCGGCGGGACGCAGCCGCCGCAGTCCTCGCTGGCGCCGAATTGGTACGACGCCGTCGTCGAGCACCAGAAGGTGGCGCCTGCACCGACGTCCGTGCAGGTCTGGTACTCGACGCCCAGGTACGTAAAAGGAAACACGCACGCGTCCGGGACGTAGCTGCAGGCTTCGTAGGCCGTCGGCGCGATTGTGGTCGCGTCCTCGAGACGGCGCGTGTGGGGCTGCCCCCATGTGCCGGCGAGGAGCGCGAAGATGATGGCGTTTCTTGGCGTGGTGCGCATCGGTGTGCCCATAATCGCTTCCGAGCTAGATCTCAGAGCACATTGTTTCGCCGGCGGCAAGATTTTGATGCTGCCCGGCTGCAACCCGACTGCAAAGCCCATTTTCAGGCCGATCTTCACGTGCACCGTCGCCGAGCGGCATCGGAGAGCATCGATCTGGGCGCCAAAAGCTTAGTCGACTTGCCTGCGCAGCGCGACTCGCGCGCGCAGCTCCGAGGCGCACCACCCGCGCGCATCTGGGCGCAGACTCCGCCGCCGCGTCCGCGTCGCGCCGCGTCCGCATCCGCCGGCGCGCCGCGCGCCGCGCCGTCGGTTCTTCGACCATGAAGGAGATCATCACGCTCTGCGTGGGCCAGTGCGGGAACCAGATCGGGAGCGAGTTCTGGAAGCAGATCACGGCGGAGCACGGCATCCAGCCCAACGGCCTCCCCGAGGAGTTCGCCGTCGAGGGCGACGACCGGAAGGACGTCTTCTTCTACCAGGCGGACGACGAGCGGTTTGTGCCGCGCGCGCTGCTGCTCGACCTCGAGCCGCGCGTCGTCAACAGCATCCAGTCTTCCATGCACCGCGACCTCTTCAACCCGGAGAACATCTTCATCTCCAAGGAGGGCGGCGGCGCGGGCAACAACTGGGCGTCGGGCTACCGGCAGGCGCAGGAGAACTCGGAGCTGCTCCTCGACATGTTCGACCGCGAGGCGGACAACAGCGACTCCCTCGAGGGCTTCGTGCTGACCCACTCCATCGCCGGCGGCACGGGGAGCGGCATGGGCTCCTACATCCTCGAGCACCTCAACGACCACTTCCCGAAGAAGCTCGTGTCGACGTACAGCGTCTTCCCCAACTGGGAGGAGGACCAGAGCGACGTCGTCGTCCAGCCCTACAACTCCATGCTCACGCTCAAAAGACTCACGGTCAACGCGGACTGCGTCGTCGTTTTAGACAACACGGCGCTGAACCGCATCGCCGTCGACCGGCTCCGCATCCCGAACCCGTCCGTGCACCACATCAACTCGCTCGTGTCCACGGTCATGGCCGCGTCGACGACGACGCTGCGCTACCCGGGCTACATGAACAACGACCTCGTGGGCCTCGTCGCGTCGCTCGTGCCGACGCCGCGGTGCCACTTCCTCATGACGGGCTACACGCCGCTGACCATCTCCGCGGACGATTTGGCGCGGCCCCAGGACCCGGCCGCGGCGCCGGCGCCGGCGCCCGAGGGCGACGCCGCGCGCGCGGCGCGGCCCGCGGGCGCGGTGCGGAAGACGTCCGTCCTCGACGTCATGCGGCGGCTCACGCAGCCCAAGAACATCATGGTCTCCGCGAACCCGCGGCGGGGCTGCTACCTGAGCCTCCTCAACATCATCCAGGGCGACGTCGACCCGACGCAGGTCCACAAGGCGCTCCAGCGCATCCGCGACCGGAACCTCGTGTCGTTCATCCCCTGGGGCCCCGCGTCCTACAACGTCGCGCTCTCGCGCAAGTCGCCCTACGTCGAGACGAAGCACAAGGTCTCGGGCCTCCTCCTCGCGAACCACACGTGCATCGCCCAGCTCTTCGCGAAGACGGTCACGGCCTACGACCGCATCCGCAAGCGCAACGCGTTCATGGAGAACTACCGCCGCGAGCCCATGTTCGCCGACAACCTCGACGAGTTCGACGACGCGCGGGACGTCGTCACGGACCTCCGCGACGAGTACGCCGCCGCCGAGACCGACGACTACGTCGACTGGGGCTCCGGGCCGGGCGACGACGACACCGCGGTCCTCGTCCCCGAGCCGGGCGCCGCGGACCTCCCGCCGCCGCCGCCCGTCGGCGCGTGAAGACAAGAAGACCGTAAAGCTGGCACCGACGTCTCCGGGCGGTCGGAGTTTAGTCGGAGTTGGATCCCTCCGGAAGTGCAACAAGGCTTCAAGGTGCACCAAAGCGTACTCGCTGATTATGGACGAGCTCGTCGCTGCGGCGACCGCTGCCGGCGAAGCCGTGAAGGCGGCCAAGGCCGGACAGGACAAGGCAGCGATCAAGACCGCCGTCGACGCGCTCGTGGCGATCAAGGAGAAGATCACGGCGCTGGACCCGGGCCACCCGCTGGCGCTCGTCGACAAGGCGGCGAAGAAGAAGGCCGAGAAGGAGAAGAAGAAGCAGGAGGCGGCGGCGGCGGCGGCCGGCGGCGACGAGGGCGGCCCGAGCAAGAACGCGCAAAAGGCCGCGGCGAAGAAGGCGCTCAAGGACGCGAAGAAGAAGGCGCACAAGGAGGGCGCCGCCGCGCCCGCCGCGCCCGCGGCCGCGGCCCCAAAGGCCGCCGCCCCAAAGGCCGCGGCGCCCAAGCCCGCGAAGGCGCCGCCCAAGGCCGCCGACGGCGCCGTCGCCGCGGCGCTCGCGGCCGCGTGCTCGCGGACGGCCGCGGCGCCGTTCGCGACCGCCAACGCGTACGCGCGGTCGCTCGCGGCCGGCACGGGCCTGTGCGGGTCGACGCCCCTCGAGCGGGCGCGCGTGGCCATGTGGATGGCCTGGGCCGCCGGCGGCGCCGGCGGCGTCGACGCGCTCGAGGCCGCGCTCGCGACGCGGAGCTACCTCGCGGGCGAGCGGCTCACGCTGGCGGACGCGGCGTGCTACGCGGCCCGCGGCGCCCAGATCGCCGCGGCGCCGTCGCCGGCGGCGGCGCGCTGGCTGGACCAGGTCCAGGCCGAGTGCCGCGCCCTCGCGCCGGCCGCGGCGTGGCCCGCGGCCCGCGAGCTCGGCCTGCCGCGGAACGCGCCCGGCCCGCTCCGCCTGCCCGCGCGCGCGGCGCCCGCGCCCGCCAAGGGCGCCGCCCAGGCGGCGCCGGCGACGGGCGCGGCGCCCACCGGCGCGCCCGCGGACGCGCCGAAGAAGGCGAAGAAGGAGAAGAAGGAGAAGCCGAAGAAGGCGGCCGCGGCGCCCGCGGCCGCGGGCCCGGCGTCCGACGGGTCGCCCGAGGGCGACTGCCTCGCGAGCGCGCCGGCCCTCGACATCCGCGTCGGCACGGTCGTCAAGTGCTGGGAGCACCCCGAGGCCGAGAAGCTCTACTGCGAGGAGATCGACATCGGCGAGGAGGCCGGCCCGCGGACGATCGCGTCCGGCCTCCGGCCCTTCTACGCGAGCGCGGACGACATCCGGGGCCGCAAGGTCCTCATCTTCGCCAACCTCAAGGCGCGGACCATGCAGGGCTTCAAGTCCTGCGGCATGGTCCTCTGCGCGTCGAACGCGGACCACACGGTCGTCAAGCTCCTCGAGGTGCCCCCGGGCGCGAAGAACGGCGACCGCGTCGCCTTCGGCGACCTCCCCGTGGTGCCGCCCGCGGCGCCGTCGGCCGTCCAGAAGAAGAAGCTCCTCGAGAAGGTCATCGGCTTCCTCAAGACCGACGGCGACGGCGTCGCGACGGTCCTCGGCAAGAAGTTCGCGCTCGCCGCGGGGCCCGTCACCGCGCCGGGCATGCCCGACGCCGCCATCTCCTAGGGCCGACTCCCGAAGTTACGTAAGGAGCGCCTCCCGCACCTGCACGACCATGAGGCCGCGCTCCTCCCACTTGTCGGGCGAGTCCGTCGGGCTCTCGAAGACGCGGAGCTTGTCGTCGACGTAGCGGACGCGGAGCAGGCCGGGCCCCGAGATGGGCAGGCCGAGCCGCCGCCCGAAGGCCGTGAACGCGCCGGACGTCACGGACACGTCGACGTCGACGGGCGTCCGCGACCCGCTGCGCGGCGCGAACGTGCCCTCGGCGCTGAAGCTCAGCGCCTCGCCGAGGATCTCGCCGTAGTTGACGACCGCGCGCCGTTGCACGTCGTAGGTCTGGCCCGACCGGTTCCGCACGAACGTCACGAGCTCCGCGTTCTTCTGCCACTTGGGCTTCGGCCCCCGCGTGTAGAGGCTCAGCCAGCGCCCGCCGCCGAGCGAGTCCACGTCGAAGGCGCGCTCCGTGGCGGCGAGCGCGTCGACGAGCGCCGACGCGCGCGCGTCGTCCACGGGCGCGTTCTGCGCCCACGCCGCGGCGAGCAGCTCGTAGAGCTCCGCCGCCTCGGCGTCGACGCTCGCGGGCGCGCCGCGCAGGAGCTGGTCGAGGAAGAAGCGCGCCGACGGCCGGCGCGCCGTGGGCCGCGGCGCGACCCAGGCCGCGGCGGCGCCGATGATCACGAGCAGGCGCATCGATGCCATCATATGCGAACGGAGCAGCTCTCGCGCGCCGAGCAGCTCACGATCAGCTCTCGCACTAAAACCTCTTCACCTTGACGTCAAGCATCCGCTTTACACCGCGTCCCCGACGACGAGGTCGTGCTTCGCGGCCCACCTCAGCATGATGGCGCCCGGGTGGTCGTCGCCCTTGTGGTACCAGTAGGAGAGGCCGTTGGCGATCATGAGAGAGAAGCAGCGCGCGTTCCAGGGCCCGTCGAGGACGTCGTCCTTCGACGTGAGCCCCGTCCACTTCTCCACGGGCACCTCGCTGAGGATGTGGGTCTCGATCTTCGAGATGTTGCCGATGATGTAGGACGGGAAGTTGAGCGTGAAGCGCTCGAGGAGCTCCTCCGGCGGCACGCGGGGCCCGCCGAAGGCCTCGTGCTCGTCGGAGAAGGCTCTGAAGATGTCGAGGTCGTGGCCCGCGAGGCACTCGCCGTCGGCGCCGCTGAGGCAGCCGAGCCAGACCTGGGCCATGGCCGTGCGCGAGCACATGTACCAGTCCAGCAGGCCGCACTCGAGCGCCCCGTCGTCCGTCGTCCAGAAGTACGCGTTGTCGAGCTGGAGGTTCGTGTGCGTCAACCCGACGAACTTGGAGTCGTTCGCGCCGAACTTGCCCACGAGCCCCGCGAAGACGAGGGCGTCGAGCATCTGGGCCTTGAAGCGCGCCTGGAAGGCCGGGTCGAGCACCGCCGGCTCGCAGAGGAACGGCGCGACCTCGTTCACGAATTTTAGGCCCGCGTCGATGATGGACCCGAGCGCCTTCCGCGTGCCCGCGGCGCGCTCGGGCGTCGCCGCGACGTACTTGCCCTCGCTCGTGCGCTGGCGGGGCTTCCAGGCGTCGCCGGCCAGGCCGGCGACGCGCTGCGTCATCTTCATCTGGTCGAAAATTTCCATATGCTCGTCGAAGCGGCCCCGCTTGTCCCAGGCCGCGACGCGCCCCATGGTGCGGAAGAGCGCCTTGTAGTAGGCCTCGGGCTTTGCGAGCTTGAAGTCCTCGTACTTGCCGCAGGCGGGCCGCAGCGCGTAGGGCGGTACGGCCTCGGGGTCCGCGCCGCGCGCCGCGTAGGGCACGCGCTCCGTGACGAGCACGTAGTTCGTCGAGGACCGGTCGATGTCCCCGAAGTAGTACTTGGGCACGTGGCAGGGCAGCAGGTGCTCCAGGTACACGTAGGTCGCGATCTCCAGCCCGTCGCCGTCGCCCAGGCCGAGGCTCAGCTCGCCGCGCATGTGCCAGTCGGGCTCCCACGGCAGTTTCACGAAGAGTTCCGTGTGTAGATGCGCGAGGTCCGGGCTCAGGTACTCCACCGTGAGGAAGAGCTTGCGGCCCGCGCCGCCGGCGCAGTCCGCGCCGCCGTGCACGGGCAGCTCGTAGGCCTTCACAATCTTCGTCACCGCGTTGTCCTTCGGCAGCGTGCCCGCGGCGTGGAAGCACCTGGGCGGGAAAAGAGAGATTCAAGTTCGCTTCAACGTGAGCGTTCCGCGCGCGCGCGTTCCGGAAAAAGCATGTTCCAAGAGATGATCGCTCGTCCAAAAATCAGCCGAAACGAGTGGAAAACGGCCGAGAGAGGAGCCTTTGAAGTTGGGAATTTCGCGCTCTTTTCCTGCCCTGGGAGGCACCGCGTGAGCCACGCGGCGCCGAGCTTGCTCACCTCCCGCGGCGTCCGCGGCAGGGGCAGGCCGTACATGTCGCCGACGCAGCCCGCGGCGCCGGCGAGCTCGCCCAGGCGGCGCCGGTC